AATATTGAAATTGATTAGTAACAAATTCACTTTTAACTTTTATAGTTGCATCTACTCATTCGACTGGTATACCTGAAGCTACAGTGTATGCTGGACAAGTGTTTTATGAACGACCAGATTTATTGAGATTCGCTGCTGCTAAAGATTTAAATGCTCTGATTCAGGTATCCATAATTGATATTATTGCCGTTATTATCAGTGTTGAATTATTGTAGTTCATTAGAAAAGAATATCGTCAGCATGAACTCAGACAAAATTTTAAGTTTCAATTTGATCATTCTTGTTTTGGATACCTTGAGCTAGTGTTTGGTCCTCAGGATGAACCAATAACTGGTTGGACTGTTAGTCCTGATATAGTACCATGCCAGGTACTTGTATAATAGTAATGCTGGCTATTTATATTTTAATAGATTGAAGAAGGAGATTTAGATAATTTTGGTTCTGACATTAATACAATTCCTCCATCTTGTCTGGTATCAATATATGCTGACAGCAGTCGTCCTGATACTGTTCATGTACTCAAGTATGCTATACCATTGAAAGGTTTACGTAAACCAAGAACAATCAATATTAACAGATCACTGAAAGATATATTAGGTATAATAGTGATGCACATAATTATATTCAATTGTGTAATTTGTAGATGCACCTCATTCTGTTGGTACTAAAGATGGTCCTAATCCTGGTTCACAAAATGACCTCAAGAAGCAGCTTAATGATCTGAAGCGTTTCCTTTCAACCTCAGAAGCAAAGTTTCGTGACATAGCTAATAGTTGTAAGGAGGTAAAAATTATTGATTCTTCTCAGTATAATGAGTTATTTGATGGGATGAATAACCAGTCTTTATCAAAAAGAGTAGAACTTTTTCTGGGAAATATTACATTATTAATTGAACTTTGTCCTGATCACATTAGTACATTCTTGTCTATACTGAAGGAACAGGATCATGTTGTTCTTTCTACATTAGCTGACAGGATTGCTGCTTCATGTAATTTACCAGTCATCACAATTATTTACCTTATCCCATACATTAGTAGATAGATAAACAAGATAATGATGATTACAGGAGCAATGATGTAACTTATTTTTCTATTTTTGTATGATTTTTTACTTTATGTGTTGTGTGTGTAGTTTTTTAACTTTACAAAACACTTTAGGAAAATACCTAAACACTATGATACTACATACAATATACTGTGGACACCAGATACACTGCAATGGGCGGCATCGGGATTTATATTGCTGAGCTGGCATTGTATAATTACTAGTGGGTGTGGCAATGGTCACACGATCAATTACTAGTAGTTACGTAACATAATCACTAATCATTAATCAACAGATAGTTCATATTCAGGGCCTAGGCAGGGGCGTATCTGAGGGGGGGCCTACAGGGGCCTGGCCCCCCATCAATTGTTG